ACTCCCCGGGGAGGGGTACGAGGATGCACCGCGTGTGTGTGTTTGGCTGCAGGCGTGCATGTGACCCGGAGAAGCGGGGACTGAGTGCCTGTGTAGCAGTAGCGGGAAGATGATCATGGCAGAAGCAAAGCCCCCTTGTATAAATACAGGTGCACTGCTTCGGGAATGTGCACACCTGGCTAGAAACTTCAGGCAGGGATGGGGAGATTGCTGCACATTCGTGGCTGTAACTTCAGTCTGCTCCGGGCAGGAGCTTTCTCCTGAAGCTGCTACTCCGCGGGGAGAGCTCAGAGCTGCGGAGCTCCCGTGCATTGCCCTGCGGAAAGGCCTTTCCAGTGTCTTGCAGTTGGGAAAGTGAAAGAAGCTCTCCGGGCCGCTCACCCAGCGTTTTTGTACAGAGCCCCTTCTCCATGTGGCCTCTCAGGCACGTCAGTGTAGTCATCCCCTTTGTACAGATGGGGAAACTGAGGCACGGAGCGAGGGAGTGACTCACCCAGAGCCAGGAATAGAACCCAGGAGTCCTGACTGCATCCGGTAGAGCAGACTCTGTCCCTCAGTAGCCCTGGCCCCTCGCTCCTCCCCCCTCCTGCCCCACGCCTGTTCCCATCTGAGTGTTGTTATTGCTGCTATTTATTCTTTGTGTCACCGTAGTCCCCAGGTGGCCCAGTCGTGGAGCAGGGGCCCAGTGCGCTAGGCACTGTACAAACACAGAACAGGTACGCGTACCCTGGACGTACGCAGAGGTCTGCTGGGGGGACATCAACTCCTCTAGAGATTTGCTTAGTATTACAACAGGCTACATTAAAAGCACTAGCGAAGTCAGTACAAACTACAATTTCATACAGACCGTGACTTGTTTGTACTGCTCTATGTCCTACACGCTGCAATGGAAGGACAGTATTTCTATTCCACTGGATTTATTTTATAATTCTGTGGTAAAAAGGAGAAAGTCCGCGATTTGTCAGTAAGTGGCTGGGACACTTTTGTGTTTGTGTGTCTGATGTTGTGAGCAAGCAGTTTTGAAGTGAGGTGAAACTTGGCGTCCGCAGGACAAATCAGACTCCTGAACGAGGGACAGGAGTCCGGAAAGGTTGAGAGCCGCTGTGCTAGAGAAGGGCAAGTTGGCGGAGGGGCTCCGTGCTCCAAGCGCCAGGCTAGGGACGGGATCACTGACAGGAGACAAGCAGGGAGATAGCACGTGGCGAGGCCAGAGGAAAGGAGGCTGCGGAGATCGAGAGGTTGCGAGCCTGGCGAGGACAGGGAAGGCCGTATCTCTGCAGAAAGAATCTGCATGAGCTAGCTAGATGGAGACCCTCCCTGCACCAGTTTCTCAGCCACTAGCCCAATCTCCCCAGTGCGGATTCTCCCTCCCCCCTGCTTGCCCTAGCCTGAGGGGAGGGGTCTGGCCCCACAGCTGGGAAAGGAGCCCAGGCTAAGAAAGGAGGGGGGGGGTCCTCATCCCTCCCCAGCAAAGCTGTGTTCCCCTTGGGAATATGCTCGTTCCCAGCTCTCAGCCGCCCGGGCCTTAGCCAGTGTCATAGGTGGTGCGGTGCAGGGGCGGTGGCAGCCAGGGCTCCTGGGTTCTACACCCAGCTCTGCCTCTCGCTCTCTGTGCCCTTGGACAAGTCATTTCCCCTCCTTGTGCCTCACTTTCTCCTGCTGTAAAGGGGGATGACGCTGAGGCTGTGAGGCCGAATTCCTGCTCCAAGGCCAGGCGCCCTAGAAACCCAACGGCACTTTGGGGCGACTGAGCAGCCCCCAGATTGTGCTGCTGGGATCGCATGCGATGCGGCCAGCTCTGGGGTGAAACGAGGCGCACAGCAACCCAGCCCAGCAGTCCGAGGGCAGGAAGTGAAGAGTCCTTGTCTGATGGAGGTTGCCGGGGAAGTTAGGTTAGTAGCCTGTAATGTCCAGAGAGAGATTTGGACAGGATCCCTCCTTTTGGTAGATGTGCCCAGGGATCTTTGATTCCCTCAAGAGGCCCGGCCTCAATTTTCCGTCACACCCAGACACTGGATGTATTTGCTGCTTGGGAAACCAACCAAGTGATTTTATGGGAAATAAAACTCTCTGCCCAGAAGCCAGTTCACCTGCTGTCCCGCAAACGCTGGGTGATCTAACCCCGCAGCCCTGCCCGCCTCCGTCTGAGCTTGACGCCAGCTCCGCAAATGGCCACTGTTTTCTGCTGAAATAGACACCTTTAACGAAGCTCCCACAGGCCACACGGGTGCCAATCAAACCCCACAGCGCCTCCTACCGTCCTGTCCAACTGGGGCTCTGCGGAGGGACAGCCGCTGCCTCCCTCTGTAGGAACATGTCTGTTTCTGTTTATTTCAAAAGAGCCTGGTTTGATTTCTGAGTCTGAAACCCTCTGGTACATCTGGATTCTGGCCGGGCTGTGTTCTTCCAAGCTATTGGTTAAATCCTGCTGATGATTTATAGCATCTGTCCATTCTGTTTCTCCACGTTGCACAGACGCTGGCTGGTGCGTCTACACTGGAAGCTGCTTCATGACTTTTACACCTTTTTTAAGCCCAACCCTCTGTCCATCCCTGACAGTCCCCACACATAAACCTTCCCCAGAGGTCTTAACCTAGAAGAACCCCAGCTAGGGGAGCAAGCACAGGTTCAAAGCATGCAAAAGCACAGGTCTCTCTCTTTAAGGTGCATCTACACTGCACCAATCTTACCGCGGCGTGTGGAGTGCACACGCTGCACCTTCCCCAGCACGGACATCGATAGCCGGGCAGATGGTGTGTCCCCTGCACGGCCAAGCGGTGCCTCCCCCGTGGACACGGCTGGTTTTAGCAGCGTAGTGCCCCTCTGCCTCCCCGCAGCCGGAGCCGTCACAGGCGAGTAGCTCCCCACCGCAGTGTGGACCCGGCCTGCTGTGCACGCCCCCTACACGCTGCCACCAGCGGTGTGCAGTGCAGACGCGGCCTGGGTTGCAGTAAGAATGTAGACACCACACCCAGGCACTTCCCGCACAGCCACCCTTCATGCCCAGCACCACGCGTGCCCACTTGCTGCATAGACGCAGTTCACACGCCCAGCTCCCGTGTGGCACAGCTGCAGGGCACACACACACACACACACACACACACACACACCACACCAC